GTTTTTTTTCTTTCTTTTTCTTTTTTGGTTGAAGAACAGACCAAACGTCTGTTTTTAACCTGATCAAGTCCTTTCGAGTCACATAAATCAGTACATTTGGAAAGTAAAACAAAAAGGTACCAAAATCACCCTGAAATAACTTCCCATATTCCCATTTCCCTTTTCCCCTTTGTGCAAATTCTTCCTTTTTTACATAAAAAAAAAAACTTTCAATTGAGACGCATAATAATAACAGATTATTAAATCTCACTGAAAATCTTCTCTGCTGTCTCATTAGGTCTAAAAACAAAACATAATAATAATAATAATGAAATATAATAAATTAAGACATAATAACAACAGAATATTAAATCACATTAGAAAGAAAATATGTGTTATCTATTGGATGAGATCCCCCTGTTGTTATTTTGTATTTTGTATATAAAATACCAACAGATTAATAGATCTCTTTGAAAAACTTTGTCTCGTGGGAATCTCAAGAAAAAACAAAGGAATTTAAAAATAAATTGAGACATAACAACAAAAGAATGCTTTTTTTTGGAAAAAAATTGAGTAAAATTTAAACAATTAATAACAAGAGAAAATTAAATCTCATAAGAAAAAAACATGTCTCTTATGAATTAATTCACCCTAAAATAAAGATTTTTTAAAAATACATTAAGGCAAGTCTCCTTGAAAAAACTTCCCCTTTGTCTGAAAAAAAGTTATAAAAATAAAATAAATTGAGACATATTAACAACAGAATATTAAATCTCATTTGAACAAAACCTCTCTGCTTTGTCTCATGAATGAAACCCATAGAAAAAACCCTTTTAATTTAGACACATAATGGCAACAGATTATGAACTCTTATTGGAAAAAACCTCTGGATTGTGTTATGGATAAAAAAAAAAAAAAAATTAATTGTAAATAGATAATGGCAACAGATTTTGAAATCTCATTGGTAAAAATTCCCTTTTGTCTTTTGAAAAAAGTAAAAAATTAAAAAGTGAAAAATAAACAAACAAGCTTTAAATCAAGTCGCACAGCAGAAATAAACTTCCTCGTTGTCTCCTGGATGACTCGAAAAATAACAAACAAAAAAAAGTAAATAAATAAAAAACTTTAAATCAAGTCACAGAACAGAACAACTTCTCTGTTGTCTCCTGGATGACTATCAGAAAATAAAAAGTAAAAATAAAAAATTTAAATTGAGACACACAACAGAAGAACTTCCCTGTTGTCTCCTGTCCACCCCTTAAAGTTAGCCAGTGTGTTTAGTCTTCCTTGGGGCCAGTGATTCACCCAAACTTAAACTCACTTCAGAAATGACATGATTCATAGCTAACAGCGTCTGGACTCCAACAGAAAAGCGTCCAGCCTTCAAGCTAATGTTCACCTGCTCATTTCAGACGAAAAAAAAAACTGCCTGCCTTACCACATAAACTGACCTGTTACTTTAGTATGATGGAGAACGGAGGTCTGGAGCTCCAGTAGTTTTAGGGTTTTTTGTTCTTTTGTGAAGGGTTTAAGAGGTCAGTTTGGAGTAACTGGGAGGAGAAAAGCGTCTGCGCAGGTATTTGAGGATGTAGAGCGGCAAACAGCTGATCAAAGTGATGGCCGTCACCTTCCAGATGAAAGATAATGTGGCGATGAAGTAGACATCTGTCAGGGACACACAAGAACAGACTGTAAGTGCAGCTGTAACTTAATGCAAAAGCATTGTAACTTAGGGCCTACTTACACTATGCTATCCGAACTGTGCCCAGGCCCGTTTCCCGGATCGTTTGAGAAGTGAGTGCTCTGAATCGGGCTCAGGCACAGTTTACTTGGCCGGTTGGAAGAGGTGTGCCAGAGCGCGGTTCACTTGGCGTTGGCGTGGTACGCTAGTTTATGAGTGCAAAACGCGCCTGAGCCCGAAACTGAAAGCGAGATGTGACTTTTAAGAGACTGTTTTATATGGATTTATTAATCATTCTTACTGTTCAATGAATGCAAACTGCCGTAGTTTATTAAAGACGCAAACCACTCATTGCATGACAGCTGCACCTTCAGCAAACCTCCTAATTCCTGCAGCACGAGGACTTTATAATTGTTTATAAGCGTCAAAAGTGGGTGATCTGTTCGGCGAAATATCTGACTGCGTCTCACTGCATATCAAACGACTTAAACGATAAAACTAAAGAAATTTCCACTGTGCTGAGCGAGAGCGCTTCTTACTGAACAGCACATCATCGATGATGTAAGCGTGCCCAGGCCTGAATGTAATGTGAGTGTGGGCCGTCAGGGAGACGGGAGGGGGAACAAGCGTGCTTTGGCCCCTATAGGTCTCGTAAAGAGCTTTGAAATGTGCATTTTTATTCCAAATTTGATCGTAAACTCAACTAAAACATGAACATGACTATAATAATTTACCACCAACAGTCAGACTATGTTTACACCTATTCATTAGCCCCTTTCACACATACAGACCTTTCCGGAAAATTGCTGTATGTGTGAACAGGCCCTTTTTGAAAATACCGGGAAATTCGTTCTGGCTATTTTCCGGAAGAAGAAGTTGTAACATTTCCGGTAATTTGCGGGAATGCTGCGTTGTGTGAACGCAGAAGGAAGATTGCCGGAAAGAGCGAGTTTACGTCTAGAACGCGCTGACGTGAGACGTCTACTTAAGCCAATCAGAACAGTCAGACGCATTCACGTCCGTGCGGTTTATGAAAATAAAAGCCTTTGAATATTTTCCCAGACACATTTAGCTGCTAAATGCTAGTCAGATATCGTTTATGTGTTCCTTCCTAATGCCAACTTTGTAAATAATTATCGAAAACATGCTCATGATAAGCTTTTGTTTGTTTACCTGCAAGCTCTGCTTTCTTCAGTTGCCTGATGCCTTGCGCGTGCCCGTGAGCGCCAGCACACAAACATATCATGTACATCTCGACATGTGAAAGTGTTTCTCTATACGTTTTCATCGAAGTTGTTCACAATACTGATCCATCCACAGAGTTTGTAATTTAGTCAAATGTTTACAAATACAAGCACAGCCGTTTAGAGGTCATTTCTGGTTAATCATGTCAGAATTTACCACTATTTTGGAATGGATGTGTGAGTGCTCTTTTCCGGAAAAATTCTGTAACGTCCTCGCCTGTGTGAACAGCACTTTTTTTAACTTACCGTTAAAGTCGTTCCGGAAATTTTCCGGATATATACTGGTATCACTGTGTGAAAGTGGCTGTTGTCTTGTATGCATTACTGTCAACATTGCCAATTGTATTTTGTCTTGTTTTTTTGGGAGTATGTCGCTGTCTGGAGCCAGCACCTAAGCTTTTCACTCATCAGAGTACACATGCCGAGACATTAATATCACAAGAGAGACATTAATATCACCAACCATTCCCATTTTATTAAGGTGTATCCATATAAATGGCCCACCCTGTATTACATGCATAGTGTCTAGCGTTAACCAGCGCTGTAGTGTCTCTTTATGTGTGTTTTACATTTGAAATGGCTAACTCACAGAAGATATGTGAATGTTTCATATTACTTACACATGCTTATTCTGAATATATGTGAAAGACATGCTCTTTTCAAGAGCAGGCGTGAGATTCAGCGGTGTCCTCTTCATTTTCTGTCAGATTCAGGCTCAAACTGATACGGCTAAGAGTTACACTGCGTGCTAGTAGAGACGTATTGCTTCCTGGTGAAGTGGATCCGATCCGTGAATCACAGCACATTTTGTTAGCTGACCAATCAGAGCCTCTTAAGGGCGAGCAACAAGAAGCAAATAGAAAATATGACAGTCGCCCTTTAAGCTGCAACCCAGTACTGGGAAACATCCATACACACTCATTTACACACATACACAACGGCCAATTTAGTTTATTCAATTTACTAATACCGCATGTCTTTGGATTGTGGGGGAAACCGGAGCACATGAATGAAACCCACATGAACACGGGGAGAACATGCAAACTCTACACAGAAACGCCAACTGACCCAGCTGGGACTCGAACCAGCGACTTTTTGGCTGTTTGCTAACCAGAGAGCCATCGTGTCGCCCAGTAAATATTATATGCTAATATTTTAAAAATGTTTTTCATGATATTTTCAAGGCTCTATATGTTCAGTGGAAGACCAAATGATTAGCCCTCCAGTGAAATTTTAATTATTATGTTTTTAATATATTTCCCAAGTAATGTTTAACACAGCAAGGATATTTTTCACAATATTTCCCATAATATTTTTCTTCAGGGGAAACTCTTATTTTCTTTTAGTTAACCTAAGCCTTTAATCATCTAAAACAGTGTTTCTCAACTGGTGGGTCGCGACCCACTGGAGAGTGAGATCAAAAAAACAACAAAAGTTTAATATTTAACTTATTTTGCTTATATTGGACTTTTATTTTGAAATGCATGTGCGACGAAGCTTGCTAATGGGACTTTTAATATGCCAGTAACCTGGGACAAGCCCAAGAGCTTTCGGTGAACTGTATGCAATGCAAAATCTGGCGCGTTTAAGGTCTGTTTTCTTTACAAATCAGCGATCTCCACTGGCTGAGTGATATCCGATATAAAGTGGGTCTCAGATTGTACAAGAAGCACTGCATTAAATTACATTTCCCCCCGCCATGTCTTTATAAAATGAGCATTTATTTAACCCCAGTATATTCAATAAAGCTTCTGCGCTAGCCTGTCGATTCTGACGGGCGCGTGCGAGTAAACGGCTTTTTGTCTCGTTTTACGCTTGAGCAACTAAATGAATGCTAAAGTTTATTTAACTGAATGTATTTTAATGACATTACAACATCGATGCTGTAAAAGGAACCGTATAAAATGGGAAAAAGTTTACAATAACAGGTCACCGGAAGTTTATCAGTATGGGAAAAGCACTAGCTCGGCATATACCCTTTTGACATGTGAAATTCCAGCACAAGTACGATCTTGAATATGTAAATTTTGACGACAAAAAAGACTTAAAACCTCAGTGTGTCAAATGTAGTGAGGTACTTTCACAAGAGAGCATGAAACCTAAATTAAAACGACATTTAGAAACCAAACATCCCAGTTGCAAGGAAAAACCTGTGGACTATTTTCTAAGACGACTCCAATAGCTGAGGGCATCACAAAAGTGCTGAACATCTTCATGTTCAAAACAAGTACAAGTACATCTTACTGTGCTCACCGTGTTGCAAAGGCCAAGAAAGCCCACACAAAAGCAGAACAGCAAATAACTGGTGATTATTATAAAATGGTTATGATTATTTTAAGAATTTTCCTTCAGTTTGCTGGTTTCTGTTCAGTTCAACCAGATCAGTGTTAATGTTTTATAAACAGTTCAGTTTAGATCATGGTAACTAAACTTTTCCTTACACTAACCACTGTATATAGTATTTAACATTTTTACTCTGTAATATTTCTATAATTTGATACATTTTGTTAAATAACAGCAGAACAATATTGTTTATTTGTAAGTCTTGGTGATTTTCTTATAATTTATCTGTCACCAGTTGCGTATGTTAACAATTAAATACAAATGAATAGGGTTATAACGATTTATCGTTGTACGATTTATTGCGATGCAAAAATGTCACAATATGCATCGTTGCGTTATGACGATTTGATTACGATACGACGTCCGTTTTCTCTTATTAGCCCCTTTCACACAGTGATACCGGAAAATATCCGGAAAATTTACGGAACGACTTTACCGGTATGTTCAAAAAAGCGCTGTTCACACAGGCGAGGACGTTACGGAAATTTTCCGGAAAAGAGCATTCACACATCCATTCCAAAATACCGGTAAATTCTGACATCATTCACCACAAATGAGCTTTAAACGGCTGCGCTTGTATTTGTAAACATTTGACTAAATTACAAACTCTTTTGATGATCAATATTGTGAACAACTTTCACAGGATCATATTCGCATGTCGAGATGTTCATAATATGTGCGTGTGCTGCCGCTCACAGGCTGTTTCATGGGCACACGCAAAGCTTGAAGGTAAACAAACAACGGCTTATCATAAGCATCTTATCGATGATTATTTGCACAGTTGGCATTAAGGAGAACATATAAACGTTATCTGACTAACTTCTAGCAGCTAAATGCGTCTGGAAAAATATTCAAAGGCTTTTATTCCCACAAACTGCGCGGACGTAAATGCGTCTGACTGTTGTGATTGGCTAAAGCAGAAGTCTTACATCAGCATGTTCTAGACGTGCACGCGCTTATTCCGGAAATATTCCTTCTGCGTTCACACAGCGCAGCATTCCGGCAAATTGCCGGTAATGTTACAACTTCTCTTTCCGGAAAATAGCCTGAACGAATTTACCGGTATTTTCAAAAAGGACCTGTTCACACATACAACCTTTCCGGAAAATTGCCGGTAATTTTCCGGAAAGGTCTGTATGTGTGAAAGGGGCTATTAGTTGAGCTGTTTGCAGGTGAGCTACGTTTCACCTGCTGTCGCACGCGAGATCAGATTGTAGCGGCAGTAATGTTAGCAGACCAAGATGAGTGGAGCTGAAATAGAGGATGGCCCATCCTCTCAAAATCAGACGTCTGGCAACATTTCGGTTGTACAGTCATTGCTTTAGACTCGTCCGCTTTTTGACACGCATACTGGGTCAAACATAGCCGAAGTTTTAAAGTCTTCACAGTGATTTACA